ATATCACGCTATGTCCGATTTTCCGTCTGCTTGATTGCTATCCTGACTTTCTAGATTAACTAAACGACTAGATTCGGTAAAGCTAATTATAATTGTGAGATCTCCCATTCCTCATGTTCCTATTCTGAAATGGATATCGACGAAAATGTCGAGATGTTCGACAGTACCGTGACACATACGTTTGTAATACGATATTATAACGCACAGATAGAATTATGTGCGCTGGAGATATATATTTGTAAAATTGAAATGTTTTAATGGAGAGATTATGAAATCAAGAACCTTGAAATAAATAACACTCTTCTTACACTCCGCGAGAAGGAGATAGAGAAATGTATGTGCGTATAATTTCATGGAGCTCGTTAGTTTCAGAAGTGTCTTACGAGCGTCTTAACTTGCACCAAAAAAGAAAAGGGGAGCCGGATAAGAGTTTTCAAGATTTATCAAGCTCACGCTATCAAACGACGAGACTTTTTCTCCAGGATGAGGAGCGGTGTCTCAAATTGGCGAAATCAGACACTAACGTATAAGATTACGATCGGCGAATGGGGACCCGTATCGCGCCGTCCCTTCTCAAGGGACATCATCAACGGCTCAGGAAAAAGTCGGCCGGGTGATAGAGTGAGAGAGTAAGGATAAAAGAGAGAAAGAGAGAGAGAGACAGGAGGATAGAAAAATCGGGAGAGAGAAAAAGAGATAGACACAGAGATGGATTAAATAAAAAAGGTATCGTCTAAACCCTGCACGACATCTCCCCGAATTCCGCGCCATAATACAGATTGTAACACTCGTGTATACACATGTATATATACGTGTACGCGTGTATATACGCATGTATACACGTGTGTGTACGCACAATTTATGCGAGAAGAGGGACACAGAATTGCGAAAAAATAGTGAGTAGAGAGAAGGAAAGATAGAGAGATGAAGATAGATAGAGAGAGAGACAGAGAGACAAAATGAGAGAGAGAGAGAAAGAGAAGGGAAAGATAGAGAGAAAAGGAAGGTGGTTATTGCGGACGCATTATGTACATAGTTCTTACGACTACCATGTCAGTTTTCTCAGGACACCAACCAACGACTGAGAGGCTGGTTGAGTGCTCGGCCAGGCCAGCGATGTTGCTGATCTGGCACGTGTAGTTGCCGCTGTGGCTAGCGCTGACGCTATTTATCGCCAGGATGCTGGAAAACGGCGGATAGTCGCTTATCTGTATGCCGTTGCTGGTCTCGACGGCGGCGGCGGTGAACCCGGCACCGGTCTGGACCGACGACACCGATGTACCGTCACTCGGTCTGACCTGAATCGGTTTCTCGTCCATCAACCACGTGATGTTGAACGGCTGGTCACCCTGGCTCGCCGTACACATAAGCTGTGTCCGCATCCCCTCCATCACATCGTGTCCGAAATAAAACGGCGAGATCAGCGGCGGAACTATAAACGTTACGTGTGATGATAATAGTGTATGTTATAGCTCTTCTCTCTAGTGCGCCGGCATTACCGCACCTAAGCACCTTAGTAGCTCGCTAAGACCGATCGAGTTTGCGTCTTTCGGACTTTGATGTACGCACGATTCGCGATTGCGAGACGCAAAGAGGACCTGCGCGTATATGTGTATATATATGTGTGGGCATGTGTGTGTGTGTGTGTGTATGTATGTGTATACGGCTGTGCGCGTATATGTATGCGCATGCTGCTGTATATCACACCGATGAGAGGCGCCCAAGAGGACACCTGCTTTCGTGTCTCCCCCTGTCCCTTGATCACAACGTTAGATCTGGTCGGACAGGGACGGCGCACGCTCGCGTGGTCGCCGTGGTCCATTTTTCCGGTTGTTTGGCAGCAACGACACAGCGGCAGCGGTAGCACGCGTCGGAGAAATCTGCGGCGGAATCGCGGAAGCCCGATAACCGCTCTCCCATTTGTTTCGATCCATTCCGCCGCGTGATTTCCCCCGCAGCAGCAGCAGTACGCCGCGTGCGCTCGCCAGAAGCGCAGGAAGGACAGGTGCGAGGCGCGCCGCGCGCAAAATTGCGACTCGGCCATAAATATCGGGGCGGCGGCGTATAGCGCTGGTATAGCGCGTGCACGCTGTGTAGCTCCGGGAAATGAACATTTACGAGCGAGCATAACTGTTAATGTCGGCCAATGTGTCTTTATGAGGAGACTGGCCGGTGAAGTTAGAAATAAGCTCGTCTCCGGCGAGCACCCCCCTCCCCTGCGTCTTCCGCGCGCACCCCCTTGGCCGCGCCCAGCGGGAAGAAGGGCACAAACTGTGTTTCCGGCGAATGTCGCAGCGAGAAACTTTCGTGGCACTGCCGGCGCAGCCTCCACCTGTGCGTCCTCCACCTCTTCCGCGAGGGCGAATCTCCTTGCGAGACGTAACGCGCGCATCGCGACGGAGTCATTTGTACGCGATCCTGGCCGAGATGCGCCATAACGACCGCTCAACCCGTCAGACAACCTCGCGTTTTCTCCTTCCGTCATCCACGTATCGTGACGTACCCCCCATTCGTTCTCCTTTTCATTTCATTTTCCAGTTGCGTATCGCAGACTTACTTACCGAGCCCTACCGGACAGACAAAATTTCAAGTGCGCAGTCAAAACTATGCGCCGCGGGGGATCTCTGTTCCGAGCGTGTCTTGCAGAGCGACGCGTTTCCATTTCAGGTTCGCGTTGATTCGCGCGCTGCTTTTCTCTTCCCCTCCCGCGTTTTCTTTGAAGCTGCCTGCGCCGATCATCGTCTCCACAGGCCCGCTTTGACACATCGTATCAAAGCTCGCATATGCGAAACGCGTAAGGAACAAACGGAAACCTTGGCCGGAATTGTCAGAGATCTCTCGCGTCGAATATATGCCCGTCTCGTGTACAGATATATCACTACAGTATCTCCATAATAATCGTAACAATATAGTGATGATGAAAACGACGTTACACAAATCATAGATGATATATATACCTCGAGCTTAAACACATCATCATAAAAAACCTTGGCTACATTAATAAAATGATGAGACTTCGTCATTACCGCTCAAAACGTGATACCATACAACACAATGAGTAACAGAGTAAATGAGTCATTCGTAAAATACAAAACGTTTACACGAGTCTCCTACGGGATCGTAGAAATGTCGTTACAGCTATTTTCATGTGCATGTGTGTGTATGTGTGCGTTTATGTGCGCGTTTACGTGTGCATGTGTGTATTTGTGTTTATGTGAGTGTGTGCGCATATGTGTGCGTGCTTATGCAAGTGTGTATGTATATATGTACGTGTGGGTGTGTAAAAGTACTGGGAGCAAGTATAGTAGTGAAATGTAATACTCAGTCAAAAACATTACGTGTCTCTCGGATATCAATGCTGAACGATGCATACACCTGTGCGAATAGGAAAACCAGTACGAACTTGACGATAACTTTACGATCTCGCTGCGACACCGAGATTCGAGTCTTATCGAACGAGAGTCTGTCCCGCGCACCTTGTTGCGTGAGATCCAGCTGCCCTGCCTCTTGCAACCCCCGCATCTCGATGTCGCAGGTAAGTACGTCGTGCCTAAATAGTACATACTGCAACAAGTATGTACGTGTGAGCGGCTAAGCGCCATAAATGGCCAACCCGCAATCTCTAGTGTCCTTTGCGTATGTCTTCAGGAATCATTTATATAGATTCTGGTATTTTTCTCTCGGCATATATCGGTGTCTCATACATATGCGCCTCTGCCAGAGTTGCTCGAAGAATGTCTACTCACGCATATCCGGAGGCAAGGACGACGTGAGTTGGACAAGTACAGCTCTGATCCGCTCGCGTTATGCTAATACGAGAGTCAAAGGCATTGCCAAGAGTGTATGGTATAATACACAGGCACCGACAGTGGTTGCAGGAGAATTCGATCAAAGCGTGCAAATGGCGTGCAAAGAGAACGGCGTGCAGGACGAGATAGATCGAAGGTAAGAGAGAACGATACAGAGATCGAAAGTAATTCGAAAGAAAGCCGACAACACGCGGAATCGGTGACGTTCTGGGACGTTCGCGGGTCTTCAGCCTCCGACTGCCCTCCGAGGAGGATCCCCGAGTACGACCACCGACGCGACGTGCTGGCATGCGTGCACCTTGGACTAGCGTGTAGCAGAAACGGCCGTATCGGATGATCTCGGATCGTCCGATCTTGATACTCCGATCGGAGATCATCGTGGTTACGAGCCAAAACCCAGTCGGTACTCGAGCGACATGCCAACGACGACATATGAACGACATGATCTGTCTCGCGAAAAGCGAGCTCTTCCTTTTTCGCGGACGGCGTGAAGCTACGTCGACAGCGCGATCCCATGGCGAGCGTCATCGGCGAGCTTCTTTCTCAGCCGAGATGAAATAAAATTGATTACGGTACGCATCGCGAAGTCGGTGCCGCTGATTGATCGATCGTGCGAAGCGTCGCGGCGCGATGCAAACGTGGCCACCGGTGTATCCCTACGTGCCGATCAATCAGTTACTTTCCATCGCCCCGTACCAGCCAACGAACTGGAAAATTGCCAGTCCGGCCCTATTACTACCCACGCCTCGGCTCTCGCGAATCTCAATGACAATCCTCGCTCTGCCGGCGCGACCTTATTCCGCGAGACGTGGCGCGAATCCACCCGTCGTCGACGTGTCCCTCGTCGTCGTTGCCGTCGTTGGCATCCCGATGAGCACCGACCAGTGCCGTGTTCCGAAATGCGATGCTGTAGTAAGCTCGACGCCAGGAACGTCGACGCGCTCCTCTCTCTCTTTCTCTCTCGATCGTGTTACGCGCGACACGAGAGAGAAATAAGAAAATGGAGAGATAAGAGGTGAGAGAGAGAGAGAGAGAGAGAGAGAGAGAGAATGAGGAAAAGAAAAAAAAGACTACAGAGTAGAGGAAACGAGGAGGAGTGAGGAAGACGAAAGAAACGGCAGGCTGGGGAAGCAAGAGGACATCGAGATTCCGGAACACGGGCGTATAATTACACCAACGGTGTGCGTTTACCGTTGACGTGAAGGAGTGCAGAATGAGCGACGGTTGCAGCGCCATTGGTCACGCGACAGGTGTACGTGCCATTGTGCGCGGGTGCGATCGTGCTAATGCTCAGGGCGCTGGTAAAAGCGTCATATTGCCGGATGGTAATGCTCTTTCTCTGGGACGCTTCGTCATGCCCGGCGCCGGCGGCGGTCATGGTGGGGCCCCGCTTGGGGGGCCCCTTGAGCGCGTCCCCGGGACTGGCCGGCGACCGACCGCGGCTGCTCGACGGCGCATCCTGCGACGTCCTGACCGTCTCTATCGGGACGTTATCTTTGAGCCACGTGAACGTCAGTGGTAGGTCGCCGGTCACGACTACGCACTGTACGCTAGTACGGTCCCCTACGTTTAAATCGCGAGCAAAACTGAAAGGCGTGATTTTAGGTGGCACTGAAAGAACAATACAGACAAGGTGGCATTCCATCAAAGCAGTTCAGAGATCACTAGAGAATCGCGACGTTCGTCGGGATCGTGTGCGTATGTGTGAGTGCGGGACAGATATGTGTGTGCAAAAAGAGAGAAAGAGACAGAGAGAGAGAGAGAGAGAGAGAGAGAGAGAGAGAAAGAGAGAAGGCAAGGGTTGGAAGGGGGCAGGGGGAGAAGGAGGATCGGTGAGAACGGTCGTGACCGTCGCTCCGCGTTGCCGGATGCGCCTCGAGTGAGAAGCAATTTTTCAGCGATCCAGCAGCGCGGCGGATAAGGGAAAAGCAACTCCGTCCGATACGGCATACGTCAGAAATCAAGCGTGATTCGACGATAACGACGAGATTAATCGATCGCTCTCCTTCGCTCAGGTCTGCGGTCCTGACGTTCGAGTCAGGAGCAGCTCGCGCGCATCAGCCGACAGAAGAACGTGGCTCTCTGATGGAGAGAAATACCGTCGGTCTGAGGTCTAAAATTGCGTCTGTCACGTCCACTCCGTGGACGCGCGAACCGAAAAGTCGGGGATACGTTTTATCGTCCCTTTCAGTTCCTTGATCGTTTCATTTCCCCTTTAGTTCATCACATTTCTTCCAATTAGAAGTCCTTCGCCGGAAGAGGACACCCCGTCCGTGATCGAATAAGACGGACTCGAATCTGTCGTATGCGGTATCGCGACGTAGGACGCTCCCGGGACGCGGGATCGTTCAGTACTGTGTCGATAGATCGACTGCGGGGAAATATAAGGGGAAATAACGTGTGCAATTTTAAACGAAAGGACGCCGCGCGGACGGGCGCACCGCCGCGGCGGGATATTCAGCTTACCGACAATCCGTATAACAAGCTCTGCATTTAGGATGAAATCGCGAGTACACACACGTTGAACAAACGCATCTAATTGGACATTTTCGAGGCGCACGGGCCGGTGGGGGCCGCGCGAAGGAAATGTTCGATATTCCTGTTTACACGCGCGTTTATTAGTGTTTGCCGCTCTGTGCGTTCTTTTTTTCTCCCTTCCTTTCATATATCGCCCGGATTGCCGATAAATCCGACGTGTCCCGAGACTTCAGGGTGCGCCGCGACTCCGCGAGACTACGAGGTCCTATCTCGCGTGCGCGCGTTTCGCGGGACATACACGCGACAATTCTTCGACGATACGTGATTCCGCGCGATTATATACGAGGTATTACGTATTCAATGCGCACTCATTAGATCGCGCCGCGTCCCGTCCCGCTATGCGTCGTGCTATGCGGCGTCAAGCGGAAGGAATTACGCAATCGTCACGTGCGTCGCACGCGCAAATCGGCGGGAAAAAAGGAGACAAACATCGCGGCCGTGGAAGGGCGGAGGGTTGGGAGTCGAAGGACGTTTTGCGGTAATACCCCGTGCAACATCTGCAACGCACGTCGCGTGCGCCGTTCTTATGTACATAGTTTTACGTACGTGGCAGCTGGATTTTTATGTACACACACATATATGAGTATACGCGAGTACATAAAAATACATGGAATAGAACAGAGCAGTTAGGCGAGCGCGTGCAAGGAGAGATGCTTGAGCGATGCAGTGAGGTGCTGTGCTCTCTGTGCATGGGTCATTTCCGGACACGTCCTCAGCACGCGCGACAGTGTACGCTCGCACGCAAATATACAGAATGTCCCAGAAATCGCGTATTTCTCCCGAACGCTGAGAGCCCGCTGAGAATCGAACGTTTGTCGGGAGAGAGAAACGACAGAACGAGACTTGTCGTCTCGTCCGTGAGTCGAAAACTTTTCCGCGATGGTGACAGAAATTTGATAAAACTCCTCTTCCTCTCTCTCTCTCTTTCTCGCACGCGACTTGCTTGTCTTCTTCTTTTTTCAACTTTTATCACCTGACCGTTGCGCTTACGCGCCCCTAGTTTATACTACTCGTTCAATATTTAACGTTGAAAATTAAATAAACGTTCGTGGAGAGGGGAAAAGAAAGAGGGAGGGTGAGAGTATGTGTGTGTGTGTGTGTGTGTGTGTGTTTGTGTGTGTGTGTGTGTGTGTGTGTGTGGAAAAACGGCAGATCTTGGAGCGAACGCGCGCGGAGCAATTCGGCGTTCTTGGCTCGAGGGCTTGGAGCGCGACTTCTGGAGCACAATGTATATTATATATGTACGTATATGCGCACATGTTACATCACACACAGTGTGAAACATATAGAACAGTCCGTCTCGAGAAAGGTTCCACTCGATTTCGGAGGGGCTTTTCGTTAGAATCCAGGTCGAGGTGGAGCTGAAAACGCAGCGGCGGCTCTCGTATATTTCGGCGAGAACCTAAACAACACACATACTCCCCCTTTTCTCCCTTCTTTCTCTTCTGTTCCTCCTTCCTTTTTTTCTTTGCCTTTTTCCTTTCTTCCTTTTCTGTCGGCGCGTGACGCAATTTTTACGTCGCTCAGCGACGCGGGAACAAATGATCGGCGAATGACGAGAAAATCGACCGTTACTATTCGCAATCGCGAGTCCCTCGCGAGACAGAAATTCCACCGGAACGTGTTCCGGACGGGGCGGGGCAAAGGGAGTGGCAGGGAAAGGGGGGAAGAAGAGCAAAATTCTCCATTCTAATTTTCGCGCGCCGGGCTCGCGATCGACCGGTCGATACCGTTGCGAAAGGCGCGATATGTTACCGCGTGCAATGCGATAAACCGAAGATTCGGCCCGGTGTTGTCCCGCGTTAATTAATCCTGCCCGACGTCAAACAACGCGACCGTATTAGAGACAGAGCGAAGGTGAGGGGGGAATGGGAGGGATTTGCTTGATGAACGCAATAGAAACATTATGTAAAGATAAATTCGGTGGTGCGCATAGCGCGCGGCGCATCGGGCCGTCACGCACAAACAGGCTTCGATTAATACGATCGGGCCGGGGAACGGGAAATGGATAGTTAATACGTTCGACAAAGGGAGAATACATATTAGCGTATACCCGTGATATCCATAATCGCGCCTCGATATCGCGCGCGAGGTAAATTGCGAAGAGCAATTCGCGCCCCGTGCAACGCGGGCTTCGGCGCTCTTTCTTTCCTTTTTTTTTGTTATTCAAGCCGATATATCGCGTCCAAAAGGATTACGTCGGGAATCACGCCGCAGTTGACTTGATTTTCACGCAAACGCGCGTTTCCCCGCGGCAAACGAGACAATCAAAAAAAAAAAGAGAGAGAAGTAAGTGATACACTCTGCGTGCACCCCACTGTGCGCGCGCGTGTGTGTTCGATGCAATCCTCGCGCGTGGCTCTGTGCGCCAAGTGAAGCACCAATGAAACGTTTATGCGGTGCGGGGCGCATAAATCCCGCGCGCGCGCGGAGAGGAGGTATGTCGCGCGCCAAATAAAATTAGCCGTCGCGCAAAACGTTAATCCGCCGCCGTTAGCGACTGAATATTTTCCTTGTTCTCTGCGCGAGGCGGAACGACGGCATCATCTCTCGCGTGCGCGATCTCTCCTTCTTAGCCTCGCCGGGGCTAATCTCGCGAATGCCTCGAATTCCGCCGCTTAATATCGCGAAAATTACGCGCTCGCGCGCAGCCGTTTACTTACCTAGGACGCGCACTTCGACCGTGCGCTGCGACGTGAAGTTGTGCTTGTTTTTGGCAGTGCATGTGTACGTGCCCTGATCGGCACTGCGCTGCACGGTGTCGATGAACAGCGTGCCGTTGGCCACTCTTTGCCGCATGTCGGTAGGCAGTTTTACATCGCCTGGTAACAACGGGCGTAAACATCGTTACGGATAAACAAAGCTTCATCCCGCTCGCTGCTCGGAAATGTTCCAGGCATTCGATAATAATAACACGCACGCACGTTACTCGGCTTCACGAGCGCGCGCAAATAGCTCGATCCGCATCCTCACCTCGCCCGGGAATTAACCTTCGATTGGACGCGAGCTAATTCCCATACATAAACAGATAAGACGAGTGCATATCGCTTGCATAATCTGTCACATTATATGAGTGCGAACAGGGATTTGTCAACGGGATGCGAGCGGGAGAGCGGGAAGGAGGATCGGCGCGGAATTTTAATGTACTTCCCCGTTGCGACCGCAACGGAAACGTACGCTAAACCACGCGCGAGCGCGAGGGATATTCGCGGGATCGCGCGCGCGCGTTATTCGGAGGATTAGCAGAAATGACGCACGATGCTTACCTTTCTCCCACGCTATCGATTCAACGGGATAACCGGCTACAGGGCACTTGATATATAGTTGTTTCCCCGCGACCGCTGAAACGGCCGACATAGGTCTGACGTATGGCAGTCCTGAGATTAGAAAGTAGCAAAGGTCGTTACGCTGCAGCCGCGCGAAGTAACATGGGGTTATAAATTCTGCACGAGAATACGCCGTCATTTTCTCGGCTTCGGAAAGCCGTCGAAAATGAAAAACTGTCGTTTGCGTAACCGATATGGATATTTTCACGAATATTTCCGCGTATATTTTGACAACATATAGAGCGAAATTTTTCTCTCTCTCTCTCTCTCTCTCTCTCTCTCTCTCTCTCTCTCTCTCTCTGGCTCTTTTCTGCGCCGACGATAACAATTGTCAGTAACAATCGATATATCGGCGCTGATGACGTCTTAACCTTTCGAGACTCAGAGATCGTTCGAGTTAAATATTTTTTTCGTAAAGTAATCTCGAAAGATGCTGTGCTGATGAAGAGCTTCATGGTACGAATAAAGTTACCGTCAACAAGTGCGATTCTCTGAATGTACACACAATGATGTATAGTCAGTTACGAGTCGGTTCGTACGCTTTTTATCGAATGCAGTTGCAACGTTTCAAGTTGTCAGAGTGAATAGTCGTTTCAACGGACACAACTCCGACGACCTTAACCTTGATATATGCTTTTGAGAACATCCCTCTGACAAGTAAACCTACTCAAAAAATAGTTATACTCCGATTTCTTTCCAATTTGGCACAAATGTAGAAGTACAAAAAATATTTAAATCATATTTTTTCATTTTGGTCCATTTTGAGTTTCACGGGCAGTTTATAGTTTTTTAATGTTCTCACTCTTATCATCAACAAAAATGCAACAAAAATGCACAAGAAATAAAATTGAATACAAGATATAGTTAAATAATTTTAATAAAATCGGCGTAGCTGAGACACGAACCACTCTAAATTTCTCTGGCCGAGATTCTAATCGAAATATTTTAAATCTAAATTAGTCAAAAATGATTTTACAAATGTTTCTCGGTTTGGCCGAGATTCGAACCATTTTTGTAACTAATTTAGCATAGATTTAAAATATTTCGGTTGGAATCTCGGCTAAAGAAATTTAGAATGGTTCGTGTTTTAGCTACGTCGATTTTGTTAAAATTAATTTAACTATATTTTGTATTCAATTTTATTTCTTATACATTTTTGTTGCATTTTTTGATGATAGAAGTGAGAACATTAAAAAGCTGCCCGTGAAACTCAAAGCAGGTCAAAATGAAAAAATATGACCTAAATATTTTTTGTACTTCTATATTTGTACGAAATTAGAAAGAAATCGGAGTGTATCTTTTGGGTAAGTTTACTTGTGAGTAATTTTCAAAAAGTTTTGAGCCATCGAACCTTGTTCATTAAGAAATTATTAACAAAAGAAACTTCATAAACAGAACAAAGGTTTCCAACTGTACATTTAAGAACTAGAAAAAAATTAATTTCTTTCGCGTGAAAAACCTTATGTAATTTTCTCGTGAAGACTTTTATGTAATTTTGACCGTCAATAGTCTGATAATTATCAAACTATTTAGATCTGTTCTAAGATATTGTGTCAGTCTAACCTAGTGGAAAATACTATTAAACAATATGAATTTATATAACAAATTTAATCTAGTAATACGTATTAAAGTGGTAATAATTACCAAACCTTGATAACTTATATGTTAAATCGAAACCATTTCACCAAAGCATTTAATAACTATTATCCAGGCTGGTTGAATATTACCAAGTCTTTCTTTCAGTGCAGTTCAGCTGAAAAAAACAGACGGCCAAGGATTCAACCAAATTCACGCCATCTCTGTACCGAGCCACGACTTGCTTTTCGAACGATCCACGTACACAGTTATTGTATACATCTGGCCTTAAAGGGTTAAACGCGTCCGCCAGAAAGAGAGCGAGTCTTCCCAATTCCGGTGAACATGTCTCGCACTGTTGACTTGACTTTCGCGCTGACTCACCGTAAATATTGAGCCTCGCCGAGTGCCTGGCCTCGCCGGCGCGGCTGTTCGCGATGCACTCGTACTCGCCGCCGTCTTCGGACTTCACCGTCGTGATATTAACGTGCGATATTACGTCCCCGTACACGGTCACGTATTGGCCAATCAGGAGCCTGTCGTTTTGAGGCAGCGGAAATCCATCTAGCAGCCAGGAAATTTGCGGCGTGGGATTACCTGCGGCGCTGCATTTCAGAGAAACCGATGGACCAGGCTGCATTGTCTGTTCGATAAACCTGTAGACCAGCTGCGGCGCGATCTCTGTTAACAGACGTTACGCTGGAGATTACGCATCCGCTCAACTTTCCGAATGCTACCCCCTTTCAACCATCCCCGACTCCACTTGTAGCCCGCTCGGCGCGGCCGCGTCTATTTCCGCGCTTTTTTCCCTCTTCCGCTAGCGTAGCGTCCGGATCGATTGCCGGGCGCCGGATTGCGAGTCGCGCGAATTTAAGTTCGCGATACGCCGGCGACTCGCGCGGGGCAGAAGCGCGGAAAAATAATCCGAATGAAAAACTATGTCAAGCGCCGGCGATATCTCGTTGGCCCGTGAAGTGATTTGAGAGAGCGGTCTTAATAAAAAAAAAAAAAAAGAAGGGAAAAAATCACCACACACGCGCGCGCTCAAATCCCAATTGCCGGCTCGATTGCCGACCGCGAGGCTGTTTAAAAGTAATGCCGATGGGAGAACTGTGGCACTGAGTGATTAGTTTACAGAAAGCAAAACGGCAACAATCGTGCCGCGATGAATTATAAAATCGTCGCGACGTTGCCGAAAGAGATTAAGCGAAAGAGAAAAAAAAGGAGAAAATACGCGAAACATTCGACGGAAATGAAGCCTGCGCTTCACACTAACGAGCCGCGCGCGCGGTGATAAATTCATAAACTTCGTAACACGCGCGAATATATCCGTCCGAAGATAACGCCAACCTCACCGAAAGTTTTCGCATTCACCCGCGGGAAGAATCCCCTTTATCGCCGCCGGCGTTATTGACATCGATATTGATGAATATTTACGATAACGACAATATTTCATTCGGCTACCTCGCGGCGACGTCGATCGACGAGAGACGTATAACTCGCGGGATGCAACGCTTCACTCCTCCCTCTTCAGTCTCTCTCTTTCACTCTCTCTCTCTCTCTCTTTCTCTCTCTCTCTCTCTCTCCCACGCTCTCTTTTTCTACTTATCCTAATTACACTTTCTATCGGAAGACACGGATGAAGGTAGCAAAAAGTAGCGCGATTTATTTAGCGCGAATTAACTTCATAGTTAAAAGTTGAAAACTCACCGGCGCAAACATCGGACTTGCGAAAGCGCGCCCGTGTATAATTAAAAGACTACGCAGAGTCCCATTAGTAAATTAACAATTAGGCCGACTAATTATTCTGTTTCCGCTGTTCCGCTTTCCCTTGCGCCGCAAGCGGGCGGGAAGAAATCTTACGTCGCGCGTCTCTTAACGCCGTAAATTAATGTTTAAGACTGTGGCGCACTTAACGGCGACATGCGAGTGATATATGTATTGTGTGTATGTGTATTTTGTGTGTGTGTGTGTGTATGTGTCTGCAGCAAAAATCCCGTCATGCCAAATAAGAACCAAGAGAAAAAGTCAATTGCATCGAAACAGCATGTACATACATGAAAGAGAGAGAGAGAGAGAGAGAGAGAGGGGAGGGGGAGAAAGATTAAAAAGATATAAATTTATTTACCAGGATGTGCGTAGCTCTGTGTATGTAGTTACAACAGCGGCAGGAAAATATGGATTGCGTTTGTATCATCTCGATGAAAACGATCGGATAATATAATATTGACGATTCGCCAAATACCATGTGAAATTTAGCGATTGACGTGTCTGCGTGCGGCAGAGCCGTGCTAGAGCCCTTCCACAATACAACAACGAGCCAGAAAATAATTTACAGCCGGCACAAAGCGTTCTTGCCGTACACTCGCGCGATAAGTCCTACGGGAATCGATATTATTCGCGCCAACGCTCTAACTGATATTAATTGGCCGCCGCCGGCTCCTGTTTCCTCAAATTCCAAGGAAATCACTGCTGCCGTGTCCGCGGAACAATCGCGAATCGCTCATCTGTGCGCGATTTTCGCGAGATCGCGCATTTTGGGGCCGTTGAAGCCCATCAAATTGAACGCCGTAGAGCGTCGTATTTTCGTAGGCGGGTTGACATGATGAAACGTAATTTGCATGAATGCCGGTGTTCTTTCGAGATTGCCGCACGCGACGCGCGAGCTTTCCCGTTTGCCGCGCGGCGAATCGTCCCGGGAATCACGTTAAAATTGTAACGCAAGATATCGCGTTCCGTAATTCCATCCGGAGGAGCCCGGTAAATTCGCGAATTCGCTGAGATGTTCCCTCGACCGGCTTTCATCCGCCGACGTATCTATGGCGCATAATAAATAGACCTAGCTGGCGTCGCGCTGCGCCGTGCCGCGACGCGACGCGCCGCGCCGCGCCGGAGCGAAATCGCGCGAGGCTGGCATGCAAAGCATCGGCAAAACCGCAGGAATCTCGTTAGCGTATGCAAATCCAGGGTAGTAGTGGGTAGGTACCAACTATCCTATCGTGCTGCGGGCGGTGCCCCTCCTCCCTCCCGCCCCACCTAATGTACACTCTATGCCCTACAGCTTAGAAATCATGGAGATGGGAAGAATCCTAATGACAAGGTAATAGGTCCCCGGCAACGAAGTTGGACGACGCGTAAATTACTAATTTTCTATCCGCCATTTCGTAACCAGGGCGGTGGCGGTGGCGGTGGCGGTGGCGGTGGCGATGGTGGCCTCATTGCCCGATATGAATGGCGATATGCAACATTGTTGACGTAACGCAGACGTCGGTGTACTCGCTCCCGCGACGTTATATTACGCGTCTGTCAGACTTTTCTTCATCGTCGAGTCAACCCTTGTGGATTACGTAATTTTCGATAATGAATCGTGGCACGTCGGTGAGCCAATTATTAATGAAGGGTTCGTAGTGCCCGGCCTGTACAAAGTGTGCCTTGTACTTAATTTAAGGAATTTTCTCATTCGTTATACCGCGTTAACGTCGACGGCAATCTAGTTTCAGCAAACCCGTGCAATTGTCCGCGGCTCTGTCTGCGAGGAGGAAGTTGGAACGTTGAATTATTTGGCAGCCAGGAGGAAGATCCCGGGAGGAAGACTGAGGGAGGGAAGGCTCGGTTTGTAAGCTCGCGATACTCGAGCTCGAATCGCGGCTGAGAAAGAAACAAACTGTACACGGCGCGGTCCGGATCATGGCGCTACTGTTTCCGACACTCGGCAACGGCAGCCGAGCGGAGGCTATAAGCGATTTCGAAAGAAAATTTAAAGTTTCAAAGGTCATAAAAGTTACCAAATGCCGGCCGTATAAAGGTTAATGGTCGCGAAAGCCCGTACGAACTTCTAGAAATGTACAAATCGCTCGTAAGAACGGCACGAACTCGGCACGCTCTGCCCCTTGCCAGCGGCAATATCCTTCCTCGAGAGGAAGGAAGTGGTATAAAATAAAAACTCTCAGGGGTTAAGGACTGGCGTACAAATTACATCTGGAAGTTCAATTGAAAATAACGTCTAGTCGTGACGCGAGTGCGCACTTTTGTCGTACGTGCGATTAATAATAACAGCGCGCAAGGCTGTTATTATTAAAAGCAGCAGTATCTAAGCACGTACCTAATTCCTGGACATTTTTGCTATTTTGCTTTAAATATGGATATTTAAGTTGTTAATACAGAATACATGCTGATATATAATTAATATATGTGTGTATTTTATTTTAAAATTTAAATTTAAAATTCGTATTTATAAAGATGTATTTTATATTGGAAGTTTAATTTATAAATTAAATTTATAAATTTATAAATTTTATACTGGAAGTTTAATTATATAAGTTTAATTTGTATTTACAAAGATCAAATTAATAAAAATATCCAGGATTAAGTACGTGTCCGAGAATTGGTGCTTTTATCTTATCTAATCTTGGACATTCTTTATTGTTTTAGTCTTACAATATAAATATTAAAGTAATAAAAATCAGCATAAAAATAAAATTTTTAAATGTTTAAATATTCATATATCTAACCTTTTGCACTCAATAGTTTTTTCGTTATAAAAAAACTAGTAACTCGAAACTGTTTTGATAAAAAAAAAAAAGTTTTTTAGAGTTAACAAAAATAAATAATATATAAACGGATACAACTATTGTATTTCGATATTTTATGTATTTTTTTTACATTATACAAAATTTAATATTGAATGCGCTCCGATATACATGTCGATATCGCAATCGAGGCTATCGGAAACAAACATAAGTAATTATTTTCGCCTCTCACTCGCCATTCGAGTTGCTGCATCAAACCAAATGGCGACCGAGAGTCGTCTCTCAAGTGCAAAGAGTTGAAATAATAAGAATGTCTAAGATTAGGTGTACATAAAGTTTCCCTCGAGTAAGAGCTAGGTCCGTCACTTATGTATAGGAAAGAAGTGAGTGAGTGATAAAGAAAAGCTGCAACATGTCTCGTAACTTCAGTCTTCGAGTTTCTCTCTCACTCTTGTTAAAGTTTCTCTCTCGCTCCTATTCGCTTGTTCCCCGTCAACAGCGAATAGGATCCATTACAGTCAAGGATCGACACGCGGTGTCCTTTCTCTTGCTTGAGAAAGTCTAACTCTACGTACGTGTCCGGAAATCGATAGTCTCGCCTTACGACTCTCAGGAGGCGTGATGATTTTAACGCAACAAGAGAAGGAATAATAACGAACGATGAAAAAATAATGGACGATAATAGTGCAGACGACGAATGTGGGCGATAACAATAACTGTGAGCGCGCAGCTGCGCGCTCGCGCGCTGCACCTAGGTCGTAAAGAGAACATCTTTCTATTTTCCGCGGAAAAACTCGCGCGAGGCAAAAGCTAATATTTTTTCAGATGGAACAGTTCTCTCTAAGTTACCCGTTCCGCGCGTCATACGTTACGTAACCGCGCGTTATCGGCGAAACGTATCGTAAATCGGTTTTATTATATTCCGGGGTCGAATTCGCGAGTCGTGCGGTTGTCCATCGGACATTGATACGCGACGGTGGGTCTCATGCCGGTTTTCGAGCGGGCGAGCAAACGAGGCCATTTTCGTACAAAAATGGCACGTATCCCGCGGGCGAAACGGCTGGCCGATGGAAAATACGTTACGAGGGAATGCTGCGCAAACAGCGTAGCCTTCGCCGCGCGTAGCCCGCACCGAGTTCCACGGCGTTAACCAACATTTTCAAACCGCGAACAAACCAAGTTTCTGATCAAGTTCGCCAAACACTCGATCGCCTGCCACGGCGGACTCTTTATACCGTAATAAACGCGTCCGACGTCCGTGAGAATTGTTAAACGTCTCGCGCGATCGCGGTTCAACCGCGTTCCCGAACACCGTCCGCGACAACGACAACAGCAACAACGGCAACCGACGGCGTAATTCGTCATTGTAGATACAACTCTCCTCGCGCAATTCGCGCGACGGAAATATTAGCCAAAACAACGATTGAATCGTAATTGCTGGCGGAGGCGACCGTCCGGGAAACAGGTAATACGCTTGACGTACAACCGTCGCGCCGTTAACGAAATTCCGCGGGGATTAATCGAAATCGAGACCGCGATTATCGTTCCGCAAATGGCAGCATGCTCCGCGAAGCACAATCGGAAGAGCGATGAGGGCACTTCCCCGCAAAAATGGCACGTAGCCCGCAGAGAAGTCGTAGCCGCCTGGCGATGGAAAATGCGTTACGATGGAGCGGCACGCGAGCCGGGAATGGATCGTATGGGGAATAGTTCCACTGCATTAACCAAGGCCGAGCGATCACCACGGAACCGTTCGTTCGACAAACAAGCGGTTCTCTTTTATCCGGCTCGACAGGTAGTTACAGTGCGCGCGCGCGCGCGCACAAATACATCTCGTAATTAAACGGTAACTACATGTGGAACCTATTATCTCGATAATAACTATAATAATAATCATAATAGATTCGCAGCGCGGGAACGATTGTCAAGTGATTAAAAGTTGTTTCAATCGTCCTGACGTGCTTGACGACGCTGCGACACACGAGTATGCGGTGCGAATTCGTCCTCTAAAGCGCAATAAAGTGCATTCTTCGCTAAAATGCTATATTTATGAATGGTCGTTCAATTGCGCGTATAGCATTGCAATCAGTAGAGTCTCGCTGAAAGGATCAGTTAATATGCGACTATTCTCATTATTGTCGCATTTTGCGAATATAGATGGTGTCATTACACGCATGGAAGCCGGTCAATTCCATCGACACAAACGACGGAAAGTTGGACGCGGCGCGACGTGCGACCAGTTCGCGTACTACAGATTTCGCAGTGAGATCTTGGTTCCGCTGGCCGGGAAAATCAGCAGAAAGAGCTCGGTTGGAAATTTCCGGTGAACGCGATTCAGTGATCCTGGCTGAAACTAGCCAGAATTCAGTCCAAATCATCGAGATTTCTGATCAGCAGAATTCTAGTAATTTCGATCGGAATGCCCAAACCGTTGGTTCGTATTTCAGCAGAAATCAGTTTATCCTGAACTGTTTTCTCCGTGTGGAAAGAAAATAAGACGGAGCAGTGGAATGAAAGTGTTTTCGCGGAAAATCTGTGAATGCTCACTGATCATCTGCGAAATCGTCCTTCCACCATTTCTGACGCAGTCAGAAGCACCTTTGCCGATTCACTTTAAGAGAGCAGCCAACAATTCCCGCTCTTCGGAGATACGGATAATTTTATTGATAGTGTGTGCGACACCGAAATTGAGGTTATCACCAGTCCGCGATAATCCTAAAGAGCACTCGGCTTTCGGCTGACGTACGCGATAACAATGGCTTACTAACCGAAATGTTAAGGCGTATATTACGACATACATATATTTATGTATCTGTGTGTATATATACACATATACATGTATATATGTATATATATACACATATATATCTTGAACGTGAGGTAAAGTACTCACCCCCCAGGCGCAATTCCGCAATCCCTTCAGCTATTTCGTACTCGTTTCGTACGAAGCACTGGTACATGCCGCGGTCCTCTCTCGCGACCGACGTCACGGAAATACGCTCGCTCGAAACCATCCTTACGCGAGTGCCCGTTCTCAATGGCTGACCGTCTTTCAGCCAATAGAGCACCGCTTGCGGAAATCCACTTGCTGTGCACGTCTGCAAAGGAGTTTAGACGGAAGGAACTGATGAGAATCAAGAAAGGAGAAGAGATCTCGCCCATAGTGAGCGCGCACAGAAGCAAGGAAGAGAGAGAGAGGGAGAGAGAGAGAGAGAGAGAGAGAGGGAGAGGGGGGGAGGGAGGGAGGAATACCCTCCTGCTCGGCGAACACGAGGCTATATTCCCCGTTCTCTCCGTGCGAGCGCGCAGAAGCTGCTGCTGCTGCTTCTTCTTCAGAAGCCACAGATTTCTACATTCCCGCAAAATATATATATTCGTACGCCACACTCGCGAACCGCGCGACCGGCATTAATTTCCGGCACGTACAGATTCATTTCCCGCGTCGTCGGACGGCGCTCTGCAATATTTACAGGTAGGTGGAAACGCCGCGGTAAATATTCATAACAGTAATCGAAGTGTTCAATACATTACAAACGGTCGCGCGACTACGGCGTTCTTAAAGCCGGGATGCGCGAATGCCGCTTTTTCGCGCGGTATTCACCGAATCTATGGCTTGCCTCAGTAACCCAAGTGGATTCCTTGGAATTACAACTGCTTCGCTTCGACGTATACGAGGGAGGGGGAGGGAGGAGAAAGAGAGCGAGAGAAGAGAGATCGCGAAATATATAAGCCCCCAGGGATGAATCAATCGGTCGATCGATAACGGCTCGACTCTTGGAGCCGACGACAACGCGAGGTGGGGGAAACGAATAACAATTAATTACCAAGTACGCGGGTTTCCCCAGATCGACGGTCTGTATCGCCGGTTGCACGTGAACGCTTAGCGGCGCAGACACCGTTAATCGAATCTCCAAAGTTTCGCTGCCTTCGGAATTGCTGGCGGTGCACATGTAGGACCCGCCGTCGCTTTCTTCGACGCTCTGCACGATCAGGGAGCCGTCTCGCACTACGTAATGGCCCGATGACTCCTCGATCGGCTCTTCCCTCTGATTTCTGTTGTAGTACCACCTGCGAACAGACACGATGATGACGCACGTGTGAGTGTCGTGTGATTCCCAATGTCTGATTTGCAGGCGCCGTCGCTCGCAGACAACGAGACGACGCCAGCGGATGCTCGCGTCGCGAAAAGCGCCGCATTGTTCGCGTTCCGCCGACGCGCGTATGCAAATTGCCATTTTCCGTGCTCGTCAAAGAGCGACGCTGTTATTATTATTATAGTTGCCTAACCGACGAGATCTCGGAGACCGTGTGGCTGCGTGGGTAGGTAGGTAGGCAGGCAGGCAGGCAGGCAGGCAGGTAGATAGGTAGGTATGTGGATGGGTGGATGGATAGTCATAGGTACGCACGCACGCAAGTACATCTGGTCGAAACCGTATCTGTCCATTGCACACGCTCTCACCGCAAAATAACTATTGTTTCATCGGAAAGGCCGGAATGTACTCGCCGGCCATTGTACCGCCACGCCACACACGCGCGTTTGCCTCATTTCTGATTGTTCACACGCGTGATGTGTACACGGCGCGGCGAGATACGCTGGCACGTTTTCAAAACGTGTCCGCTTTTCAACGTGCGCCGCAACGTGCGCGAGGGTTATCGCGCGCGGCGAATATCATTAGGAATATACACCTGTTCGGAAAATCACCGATCCGGAAATCAACGCAACGCGACCGTTTTGCGTCATCAGTGCGGAGACGTTTCCATGGTGAAAACGGAGCCGCGGCTCGTGTCGTCGCCTAACCAAGCTAGTTCGCTATTCCAGCTCGGATCTATCTTTGGCGCGAGTCTCGAGAAACGAGATCGCGCATAACTCCGTGAACGCTTCCGGCACGTCCATCTTAATTGAACATTCAAAGCGACCGGTTGTCTCGATTTAAGCCAGCGCACAGGAGCGGACAGGATAATCCAATCGATCTTCGGCGAGCACGCGCGACCTTTGACCTTATCCAGGGGCTACAACGACGCGAAATGCGCGCCGACGTCGGCGCAAGAACACACACAACACATGCCAATCCCGGCAAAATCATTTGTTTCGATCGACGACGGCGGATGCTTCAATTAACGTTCGTCGCCGGCGCACGACGGGGGTTTGGCCTCGTTATTACGAGCACACTCGCGAGCATTAACCGGAGTATTAACTTCGACGTGGACGCCGTCGCATATCATCTTATCAATCCCGTCGATACGCGACCGCCGCAACGGCATCGACGTCGCCACGATCCACAAGTCCGATGAAAATTTCAGACTACCATCGCTGCTGCGAGTGACGCGAGTCTGCTCTCGGGTATGTATGTATGTGTGTGTGTGTGTGTGTGTGTGTGCTCGCGCACCGGCTTCGTGTTTTAACGAACTCGCATATGTATACTTGCACGGCCGGATTAATATGAATTTTTCAAATAACACGAATATATTTCGAATAAAGCGCCTAGCACTATGCGCTGATGAAACAGAATTAGCTGAGAAACACGCTTCCTCGTTACTCTGAAATCAAAGGGACTGATTCTTAACGTACAACGGTTTTTTTTCTCCGATTTCACGCGACGTAAACTGTACATTCGGAATCGTTTTCTCACGTATTTTTTCGCGAGTTTACAAACCGGGTTTGAATTGCGTATCTGTTTTCGACCCCGTGTGAATCACAACAATCACCGTAGAAGTACATTGAGAACAAGTACTGCAAGATTTGTGTATGGGATATAAAGTTCATTTCTATGAAATAAAGTTTATATTTCTGTGAGATAACATTTATTTCTGTGAGTAAACTTTATATTCCACAAATAAATCTTCAGGTATTTTGTTTCTCAGTGTATCACCGTAAGACTATAAGGATTAATCACTGGTTGTTCCAAGAATTATACTCTTGCTAATTATACCTCTTTTCTGAGAGAGTCATATTATTATTATTATTATTATATTCACAGTGAGGTGGCCGAGGGAAGAGTCGCGCGAAAGAGATTGACAATACAAGAATTGAGACGCCGGCGTCCAAATTGGTTTAAATTCCTTAATGCTCAAATTAAGTCCTTTAGTGATATAAATGCGACATCCCAATTATATATATATAAACATGAATCGGCTAAGAAATATGTCGAAATGAAGGCTACTCTCTAAAGTATAATAATCAGTATACATTCAGTATGCTATCAGTATATCGGTATGCTAAAATAAATTGTAACTAAATAACTGATGATTCAAGTATAAATACACGAAAAAACAATATGGCTGATTTACAGATAAATCTAGTTGTGCCAATCAGATTCAACGATAAAATACGGAACAACTAATTATGTGGTTGCTGCAACCACAGAGCAATTGCTGAGTTATTGGCGCTACAGCAACGATATCTGGTTGCTCCAATCAGAGTGTATATCCATGGTAAATGTCGCTCCAACCAATTTCTGGTTGCCACAACCAGATCACGCGTAACTGCATTGATGCAGTTGATGTGCCAAAATAACCAAGTCATATCAACAATACGCATTACCATAACACAAGGGTAATCAGGATGATGCTATCCATGCTGTGCAGCTCCATCTGCTGTTTAGCAGATGTAGGAAACATCGCTAAAGACAGTCTCGACGTAGAAAGTCTTCATGCAAATAATATCATAAAACAATATATATTTTTTTTAAATCGTTCCATATTTTTTTCTTGAAAGTTACATCCTTTACGTTTAATAAATAATAATTGGTTTTATACAATATAGCGTTACAAAAAAGCTATATATATTGAACAGCCCTGTGATAAAAGAAATTTCTGTTTTGCAAAATATTACTTTTTATAAAACCTCAATTAATAAAACGTTTTTTCTGACATTTTTACGCCTAAATTACAAAAGTACAAAAGTACAAAAAATAGCCGCTTTTCAAGAAAATATTATGGAAATAGCTGAGTAAACTCACAAGTAACACTATCCAAGTGCCACACGCCGATCTTCTTGAAACTTTGCACACATGTAGTACATCGAAAAACATTGGACACGTATTTTTTTATTTTGACTAACAAGGCATTTTAAGATTAGAAAACGCATTCGAAAATTTAACACTCTATAGCCATGATAACTAATGCTACTCCTGAGCGTCATTCTTTTACAGCATTACTCTATCATAATTTCATTGTCTGAATGTTTCTAAAGTCGCTAATTATGATTTTGACATTAATTTTGCGAGATTCAAAAAACTTCTTCGAAACTGACTTTGAATAAAATCTTTGAAATGTCTGCGATTTCGGTCCGCCATTTTGAATCTCGCAAAACTAATGTCAAAATCATAATTAGCGACTTTAGAAACATTCAGATAATGAAATTATAATAGAGTAATGTCGTAAAAACTGTAAAAGAATGACGCTCAGGAATAACGTTAGTTATCATTGTGCTATAGAGTGTTAAATTTTCGAATGCGTTAACATGCCTTGTTAAAATAAAAAAATACGTGTCTAATGTTTTTCGATGTACTACATGTGTGCAAAGTTTCAAGAAGATCGGCGTGTGGCACTTGGATAGTGTTACTTGTCAGTGTGGTGACAAATTCGAGACATGAAAGATGTATGATGTTCTAAAATTAAACGAATCTAACTATAATCGGTGAATTTAAATGGATATATATTTCAATTCTTTCAACATGTCAATCAAAATTTGTTTACTTGAATTAGTCGCATACTTAAAAGTATTTTAAAATAAAAATGAAAATATATAAATCCAGCGCCGCGCTACTTTGGTAACACAGAATGAGTTTACTTTTCGGTCGCTTCAATATCTAAGTCGATCCGAATCTCTGAAATCCCTTATCGCCCTACGGGAAGTTTATCGAGACCGAATAGAGCTAGTTCATCTTTCCGCGATTGCCCGTAACGCGCCATTAGTCCCGGCATCGTCCCTCGCCTCCCCCGCGCGCGCGGAGTAACCCCTCTCTCCATCTAGTTGGGTTCTCTCTTACGCGACGATCGGCCCCACGCGGTTTAGAAATCCGCTAAAGCGTGGTCCGGGATCTTGCTTACTCTGCTCTGAGAGAGACGCGGAAGGACGACAACGATGAGCAGGCCGAAGGGAGTCGGGAGCGGAGATGGCGGCGGCGGCGACGGCGGCGACGGTGGTGGTGGCGGCGGCGGCAGCAGCGACGTCGACAGCGGCAGAAGTGGAGCCACGGGGATGAGGAGTATACCTATAGATAATCGAATTTACGGAGGGAAATTGGCGAGGGAAGGAGATGGGATAGGGGATGCTCGAGTGCGAGGGAACCTGGAGGAGATGGAAGCCTCTGCCGTGGCGGCGAACCCTCAAACTCTCTCCTCTCCTCTCGCCCCGCCGCGTGTCTTCTCCATCTTCGTTCTCTTCTCCTCTTCGTTCATCCATTCGGCTCTCTCGTTTCTCTTCCTCCGTCTCCCTTTCTCACTCTCTCTCTCTCTCTCTCTCTCCCTCTCTTCTTCCCCTTCAATTCCGTATCCCTTATCCCTATCTCCACCTTCTCTAGCCTCCCCCGTGCTCTCTTCCGTCGGCTAAATCAACCCGCGGAAGAGACGGCTAGGTGAGGAGGAGGAGGAAGAGGAGGCTGGAGGAGGCGGTACGGAAGAAGAGGGTCGGAGGAAGGGAGGAAGGGAGGGAGGAAGGAAGAGGGAACGAGCGGTTGATGAACACAAGCATGGAATACTCAGTGACGTCGACGTATACGTAAATGCGGAATATTTGATGGGCTGTCAGAAGCAGTCTCTGTAATCAGCGGTCGGTTTGTTTGCGCTACCCATACAGCTCTCCCGACGTCTATATATCTTCCGACTATCTTCGTTTATCCCCCGCCTGCGGCCTCTGGTGCATAGAGCCGCCAATCTACGCGCGCATGTACGCGCGAATCGAACCGCGCTCTATCCGCATCGATTCTGCAATTTTATGTGCGTACGCGATCCAACTTCAATCAATATTATACTATATGTGTATATGTGTATATATATATACACACATATACGTATATAAACATATACAAACATATATCTGTGTGCACGTTTTGCCGGCGACGTTGAAATTTTCATTCTGCATTATGGTGCGAGATAGGAAAAAATTCGCAATATCAAACGGACGAGACCAATAACAAGCGAGAAAGCATCGCGACGGTACGATTCCCGACTGGCCGATATCGCCCGTTCATCCGTGACCATCCTAGATATCCCTCTGTGCGACGGTGCACCGTGTGTTTCCATTCGACGCAAGTTTGATTACCCCCACGATCCTCTGTACGCCGCTCGCGGCATCAATGATGGAACCAAACTAGTTGCTAATCGCGTAATCCACTGTAATAACACGGTCTCTCCTACGCAACAAGTTTCGTAGAGTTTCTCATCCCTCCCTCCCTCTCTCCCTCTCCCTCCCTCTCTCTCTCTCTCTCTCTCTCTCTCTCTCTCTCTCTCTCTCTCTCTGTCTATCCTTGGCTCATTCTCTTTCTCTCTTTTCTCTTCTGTTACTCAACGCGTAACAAAAGTTGCCATCTCGACGCCATCGCCGCCGCTGCCGCTGTCGTCGTCATCGTCGTCTCTTTCTTTCGTTCGTCCTTTCTTTCGTTCTTCCTTTTTTTACGTACACTGTTCGTAGATAAATAAGACTAGGAAAAAGATAATACTTCGAGAGTCGGTCTCACGTTAACGCAATATTTAATACTGCAAGCGGAGAAAGAATGTTCTCACGGCAATGTTTCCCCTCGCGCGTTCGGTTTATACCTTCCCTGCAGTCATCTAACATAAGTCCGCGTGTCGATGAACTCTGAACGTTTCGCGTTTCCGCGTGAGAAACTCATATCGCAGCGAAATATTCCGGCCGTATCTATGTTTAAAATTAGCATTAATATAAGGAAAACAGAGACGGACGGTACGTCTAGCGGAGAATGAGTATCGTCCACGTGCTCGGCTGTGTTTGCACAAAGATTCCAATTTCCTCGTCACACAGCTGTCGGTCGCAGTTTCGTTCAAAGCGAACGCGTTCCCAAGGCAAAACACCGTTAAATCGCACGCACTTGATTCAAGCAACAATAATACGCACACAACAACAGTAGCGCGCTTTCAACAAGAGAGGCAGAGACAAAAGACACGATTCATTATGCGAATTGCCGTGCAGTTAATCGCGTTATTCGTTTATTATTCTTTCGCGCTCAAACGTTGGTCAAAGTTACGCCGTAGGCATACGTGTAAATTACAGAAACGATAGTTAAGAATGTAAAGCAAGCGCAGATCCTCCGAAACCGCAAACGGACTTCACAATCGTCGTTCTTTCATTCTTTACATTCTCGGATTAGCAAAATCGGACACGGAATTGGAATCGATTTGTTTCGCCGGCTTCAACCTAATATTGGATCGTCAATATTTATCGCGAGCATCGCGGTCACTCTTCGTTATTAACTGCCATTCACACTGAGCTGTCGCGTTTGCAAAATTCGACTGCTATTTATTTCGTATTCACCGTGGCGCGCGATGCGCCCGCGAAATGTCTTGTTGATCTTTAGCAGCGCCTTTAATTCACGTTCACCGTACCATATATATATATATATGTATATATATAGATATACATATATACTCTGCATGTAGATTACTCAACATCGCACGCGCGCGCAGCGGAAAGTAAATGCCTGCTTACCGTTTAATTGCGTAGCCCGAGGTCGCGCAAGCTACGAGGACGATGCACGAGGACGAGAAAGCAAGAGGTCGCGGAGAAAAATGCATTTAAATCGTAATTATGGGTGCTTCGCGGAATTACAACATTGAAAACACTACACCGCAATAACTCGGCTGGAGCTTCAGTGCGAGCCAACAAAACAGAAATACGAGCTCGCTCGTTCTATTGTACGAATATACGCGATTCGCCGATGAAATGAATTTAATTTGATTTATTTCATAATAATCAAATTTAATTAATTGATCCACGAGATGTGTTGACGAATGAGCGATTGATTGTTGTAAAAACTCACCTATTCGTCGGTGTTGGGTGGGCGTAGGCCACGCAGGGAATCACGACGGTGTCCTTCAGCCGTGCCGACATGTACACTAATTTCTCACTTATTATAGGCGGCATGAAAGTACGAATTTCTGAAAGCACAAAAACCGACAAAGTTGGATGCGCGAGTTGAATTCCGCTGTAGGAAGAAACTTTAAAATCTACGACCGACTGTGTTTCACGTTTGGAGATCGATTCTGTGTAAGTTTGTTGCGTGATATGCGGAAAATATGTTCATAAATCATTGCCATGTCTGCGATGGAGGAGAGGAGGAAAGAGAGATAGAGATTGAGCGAGAGAGAATGAGAGGGTAGAGCGGGCAGGACTTTGTGGCAGGAGAGGTGAGAACAGAGAGAAGAAGAGAGAAGGAAAAAACACAGGACTCTGCGCACGCATCCAGCGCGACGTTTAATGGGGAGTTATGGTCGCAGATAACGCCACGTCTTACGACACGGCACACTATGAGGCGGAACTACGTTAGATAACGACGATATATCTCCGCGCTTTGGCGAGAATTTGAAATTATGTCACGCGCTATCAAAGCCGTCGGAAAAATTATGTTCCGCACGAATGGCAACGTCCAACGCCTTCTCGCGCGCGCGACTCGTACGCGTTCCGCATTAATAACATCTCATGATATCTTGTAAGAAAAAAATACGAGAGACGAAGAAAGGACGCACAAAATGTACGTTTTCTTTACATATATACATATCTCTTTACATACATACATATCTCTTTACATACATACATACATACATTTCTTTGTTTTAGCGTTACATGTACAGGGTGTCCCATATCACCTTCACAATCTCTCGTGAGGACGTAGAGCGGATTGAGATGAACACAAAAGTCCCATACTGTTTTGCGATATTTTCAATAATAACCGAGAAATTAATTAAAGAAGATTGGTGAATGATCACGCGCGATATAGTAGATGAGCTGCAGTGATGAGACAGTGTCTGCCGTTGTATACTTATACATTAAGTCAAATTGAACAAAAAAGTCCTCTACCATTTTGCAAATGACCACATAGATTTTTAGATACTAATTAAAGAAAATTTGTGCATTGTGATACACAATCATGTAATAATTTTCTTTAATTAATATCTAAAAATCTATGTGGT